TGCTCGTGAGAACAGGGTCTCTCCCATTGTTTGCTGGTCTCCCTTGGCCAGTTTATAGACTGCCACCAGATCCCTTCTCAGTCTTCTCTTGTGGAGGCTGAACAGGTTCAGGTCTCATAACCTCTCCTCGTAGGGCCTGCCCTGCTGCCCCCTGATCATGTGAGTGGCCCTCCTCTGGACCCTCTTGATGTTGTCCACATCCCTTCTGAAGTGCGACACCCAGAATTGGATGCAGTACTCCAACTGTGGCTTGACCAATGTCATATAGAGGGGGAGGATCACCTCTTTGGACCTGCTCATGATGCATCTGTGGATGCATGACAAGGTGAGGTTAGTCTTCCTGACTGCCTCCCCACACTGTCGGCCCATGTTCATCTTGGAGTCTATAATGACTCCAAGATCCTTTTCTGCCTCTGTGCTGATGAGAAGGGAGTTCCCCAGCCTGTAGGTATGCTGCTGGTTCTTCCTCCCCAGGTGCAATACCCTGCACTTGTCAATATTGAATTCCATCTTATTCTCATCCGCCCCCCCACCCCCAACCCCGTAACCTGTCCAGATCCAGTTGCAGCCTGTCCCTCCCTTCTCGCATGCTCATTTCTCCCCACATCTTAGTGTCATCTCCGAATTTGAATAAAGTGCTTTCCATCCCCTCGTCCGAGTCGCTGATGAAGATGTTGAACAGTGCGGGCCCGAGGGCCGACCCCTGGGGGACCCCACTGCCCACATATCTCTCCAGGTCAAAAATGATCCATCTGCCACCACTCTCTGGGCGTGGCCCTCCAGCCAATTGGCGACCCATCTGACTGTGTAGGCATCGACACCACAATTTCCTAATTTTTTAACGAGAATGGGGTGAGAGACAGTGTCGAAGGTCTTCCTAAAGTCCAGAAAGACTATGTCCACCATGACACCTGTGTCCAAGGATTTTGTGACCTGGTCATAGAAGGCCACCAGGTTGATCTGACAGGACCTGCCTCTAATGAACCCATGTTGGTTGCCCTTAAGCATACACGCCCCTGCTTGCCCCTCGCAGATGTGCTCCTGGATAATTTTCTCAAAGAGCTTCCCCAGGACCGAGGTAAGACTAACAGGCCTATAACTTCCTGGGTCCTCCTTCCTCATATAAATAGTAAATAATATTATATTTATAAAATATAGTGTCCCATTAATAGATTGAAAAGTCCAAATGAAATGAATCATAACAACATTACCAAGCCAAATGTTTCTACATGATGGGGAGGTTTTAGCGTCATCAGTTCAAAAAAACATTTTAACTTTTCCCAATTAAACAAACAAACAATGAAATAGAAATGGGCTTATGAAATGGTTTGATTTCCATAAAGATCAATCACTGACAGAAAACTGCCTTCCTTTGTATCATGGGGAATGGTCATTATCTCAGGATCTGCTGAGCATACATTAGATACTACTTCTCTGTTGCAGTATTAGGGCATTAGCAGTGCTCTCCCCTCTGTTTTTGCCTCTGGCAGGATACAGGATGTTCTTGGTGTTTGGGGTATTTTACCTGGTAGCTGCATGTGAAGATTTGGGGGGATTTCTTGCATTTTCAGGATTCTAACTCAATTGCTGTCCTGTGTTCTATGTCCCCTCACCCCTCCGGCTCAAACCTGTGAACAACCACTGCTTCTTCTACCTATATTCTTTGAAACTGTTTTTACAAGCAGTTTAGTTACATACAGATCTCTCTTGCTGAGGATGCAGCGCCCTTGAGTGGTAGCTAGCCCCTGCCTTGCCTTGGGGAGCAAGGAGGTACATGGTGTCGGGGCTGGGGAGCAGAGCAGTTTCCTGGTGCCAGCCCCCGCTTCACCTTGCCTTGGGGAGCGAGGAGGCATGCTACCCCAGCCCCGCCCCCACCTCAGGGACGAGCCACTGCCAGCCCCACGGGAGGAGCTTACCTCTGGTAAGTGTCCCACGCCAGCCCAGGTGCCTCCGCTGTGCTCCACGCCCAGCTCCTCTCTGGGCGGGTGTGCAGCATTAAAAAGTTAGTGCGTGGCAAGATTTTAAATTGTGCACGACCACGCGCGCACACAGCTTGGAGGGAGTCTTGGTTACAGGGTATTTTGGAAAGACCATTCATTCTTTAACAAATATCAGCCTTTTATTTGCTCCTCTTGAGCATTTCTCGGGCAATCCCGTGTTTTGTCAGCTGTCAGATCATTATCCTTGGCCCATACAGTTGAAGAGTTGGCTTCACCAGTTGTAGGAGTCATGAAGCTGTTCCTAAATTGATATCCTAGAACTACAGAAAGCGGAGAGGGGAGAGACTTAATAGGTTACCTTATCCACCCCTGCCATTTAAGCATCGTTCTTATACTGGTCCAGCCATACCTTGTTCAGCCTGGGTAAAGTATAGTTGTTTCTATCTCTACAGGATCCTGTAATTTAAACGGGGGAGAGAAACTAGATCTGCAATGAATTCTTCCCCTTTTCTGCCTTCTGTTAATAATATTATGGCTAAAAATAAAGGCAGTGTGTGCTGCCTTTTGAAAAGGACTGTTTTCCACCTGGGAACATTTGGATAGGAAGAGGAACTCTGCAGAGTTGCCTTAATGTTGGTGCACAAAATCACTGTGGCCAAATAAGTAACAGTCTCTGCCCTGATCAAAAACCAGAGTCAGAAGATTAGAATCACTGGAAATAAAATGTACAGATATCCATGCTGCTACAGAGGCGAATCAGCAGAGATACCGCAGCCGTAAATTGCAAACAAGGGCACCTTTTGTCTATTGAAGCAATGACCCTACCACATGCCTACAGTAGAGCACATCATACACCATTTGCTAGTGAAGAACTTCAAGCTCATTCTTCAGTCTGATTTATGGTTTTGCCACTGAGCCACACATTCAGGTTAAGGAGGTCTAATCTTTAAGAAAGCCATGTGTTAAACTTCCTCCAAATTGGATAGCTTTACAGTCCATAGACATAAATCAGAGCTATCTGTCAAGACAAAGAAGTTAAGTTTTGGTGCGTGTGTGCAGTATAATCTTTACTGGCCAGCTGACATGGACAGCACTGTTTTCTTTTCTTTTTTTTTTTTTTAAATGAAGGTCATTGCAAGTTTTTAGCATTTGGATGAGTGGGGAGTCAAAAGGTGAAGGGAGGAAAGAAAGATATCTGAAGCCATGGGGAAGCATAAAAAACAGGCCTTTTCATAAAAGAGAACTTTTTGAGGAAGGATTACCTTAACCTCTACTGTCTCTAGGCAATACCACAAGTTTCGGTAAACCAGGCATGGGCAGTTCAGACCATTTTCCACACCCAAGGAAGACTGTTTTTGTTGTTTTGTCTGTCGTTTTTTACCTGTGGTGCTCAAACTTAGTTGTCTTGAACTTGCTGCTTCTCAAAGGGCCTGTTGATGACAGCAGTGAAATAAGCACATTCTTGTAAAAAGCATGTCCTTTTCACCTCGTGTTGTCATTTGCCTAAAGAAGCATCTTTCCTTGTCAGGCAGAGAGCTCTGCCCAGCCTTCTCGCATTGTGGAGCACAAGGTGGATATCCAGCTTGTAGTACTGACTGAAAGCAGCTTGCTTGGGTACTTGCTATGCATATGTGAGTTCTTAGAGTTCCCATCTAAAACGTCTCTTGACCCTACAAGTTTTCACTCTGAATAGACATGGTTAGCAATGAAAATGGACATGGGGAAGATGCGTAGTTGTATGTCAGGTCTGTTCTGGAGCCAGAAAGAGAACCCTGTTTTCTGGACTCCCAATCACGTGTCCTGACAGTTGAGCCATGCTGCCTCCAGCTCTTAATACTGTAACAAGTCAAACCTATTAATAGCAAACGCTCTTCATTGCTTAACTTAAGTTTGTGCATAGAGTTTTGAAAGTGTTCTCTGCAATGGAACTTGCACATGCTTCTCTGCTTCTGGCTGCACTGGTGAGATCAACTACTGCAGCAAAGCTTAGATGTATAGATGTCACTTAATTTTGGTCTTGAGCCTAGAAATGCTCCAAACTGTCTGTATAGGTAAATTGCTGGGAAACAGCTATTTGAAATGCCTATGGAGTGTGCTTTTTACATTCTCATCATACACAGGTGTTAGTGGTAGAGCTAAAGCCCATCTGTTCCAAAATACATCCTGATTTGAAGAGCTTCCCTAGAATCACTTATCCAGGAAAGGAAGTCATTTTGATGAGTTGTTTTATTTTTTTAATTCAAGTTGGATAGCTTTGGATCATTAATGCTTGCAGTTCCAAGACATGTCTTGTTTCTGCTATTTATTTTGAGCTGATGATATATGGCATCTTATTTTAATTTGGTGTTTCTCAACTCGCAGCATGAGCAAACTGCTAGAGAACATGGAGATGTTTCCCAAAGAAGTTTTGGGGAAACTTATGCACAAGAGTGAGGAAGTCTTGGGACTGAGAAATTGTACATCTCTTCTGTTGCACATTGTATTGGGCTTGAAAAAAAAGTGTTTTAGTGTAGCTCCTTGAAAGCCCTCCCAGTTTCCCTTGCTTTCTGCTAAGGTGGGTGCTCATGTAGTCATGGGAGAAGCTGTATGTAGCTGCAGGCTGCTCCCTCTCACTGTTCCCATGGCAGACAGCTCCATTTTGTGTAGAACTAATACATTCCTCTGCTGCCAGCTGAATAGGCTGAATGAGGAGGCAGAGAGAGGTAGCATTACTAGAGGAGAAGGAGGAAAAGGCAGTGACAAAAATGTGAGAAAACAAGCACAGAAAAGGAGAAGCAGCAGGAGTCCTGCCAGACTGAGTTTGAAAGTAAAAACCACCTTCTCATGGTGGAAAGGGGACTCCAAGGATCGAGTGCTAAAAGCACTGTTTTGGTTGGATTCATGCTCTGCCTTTTGTTTGGATGCTGTCAAATTAGGCCCTTCAGTGAAAGTGGTAAAATAGGCCCCTCACTCTTGATTTTTCTCTCTCAGTCAATCAAAAGGCACTTCTTTGTTTTGGGGTCCAAATCCATTTTTAGTCCCTTCTAGTTGAAGCTGACCTCTCTCTTTCTTTTCTTGCAGATCCTGACAATCAGTTGTATGATATGGGATACACTCAGGAAGAGGATCCCCCAACCTGTCCTGATGAGTTTGATGACTTTGTCACATTTGAGGCAAGTATGAACTAAGGACATGAAAGCTACATGCATCTAGGTTGTGGGGGGTGAGGTGAGAAAAAGGCTGCAAAATATGTTGGGCTTGACTTGATAGAGGTGCTGAACATGCATGGCTCCTATCAACTTTGTGTGGGAATTGAAGAGTGCAGGACTTCTGAATGTCTGCCCCGTGTGCTCTGTTATACACCCAAGCACTGAATTGGAATCAGAATAAGGATTTCTAGCTGTCAGATGCAGCCCTATGCTGCTTTGGTGCTCAGTATTAGTGATCAGTTGCATTGAACACTCTGCTGGGTTTGCAAGTCTTTGGCCACAAGCTGACGGTGTTGTGCTCACTGTGGGAGTTGGCCCCCTTGTGGCCAAACCGGAGCACGTTGGCAGAGGTTGCTCGCTGTATTTGCATGAAGATTTGCCTCCAGGGATTGTAGTGACAGTGCATAAACCTGGTTTCAGGAACTACTTCATAAAATATGCCAATTGTGAGCCTGTCTCTCTCTGCTGTGAGTTCTTGGAGGTTATTTCCAGACAGAAAGACAGCAGGATGTTTCAGACCTCATCATTCATCACTGTGTTGTCAGTAAAAGGCAAAGCAAAGGACACTGTGGGTTTCTTCCTTTTTATTTTCATTCCCACAGTCAGCTTTTTGGTTAATTTGCCTTTGACCTCCTTGGTCCTCAGAACAAAGTGAGTCATTCCAGTTTCTCCTGTTCTTCATTCTCCCCAGCTGTAAATGAGGCTGCTGTTACAGTAACATGTTTGTCATCTTTAATTGTGAGCTTTTTGTTCTTCCCTAGTCTGTTGGCTTACTCTGTTTCTTCCAAACAGCAGCAGAGGAAGGCCACTATAATTATCTTCTGAGCAAACAGCCTCCTGATTCCACAGTGGCAGAGGTCAAATATCCATGTTGAATTGAATTTAAATGGATTTGTTTTTTCTTTTCCTTTAATGTTCTCTTAAACGATTCACTACTTTGTTCAGTTTTGCATAATGCACTTCTTCCCCCATACTTTCAGATTTTACCAGTGCTCTCCCACTCACCTAAAAGATTATCCCAGCTTGCTCTGGATTTGCTTATAAATATGCATGAAGTTGCTTTGTCAGAAATACTTGCATACCCCATCATTCATTTTCTTGGTCTTGTATCTTCTTGATGAAGGGATAGAACTGTATGCATGTGTTCCCTAGTAATAAATCTGCCACTGATCAGCTTTGTCCTCCCCTTTGTAATTAAAAGCATAGGGACATTACTGGGTCCTTTTTAAGACAATAAGCTTCATGAGGCTCTTAGGTGTCACTTTGAAGAGCCCTTGTCTGAAGCAATATTCAAGTTAAGCTATTTCTATTTCAGACCACTTCTTTCACTTTCATGGCTTTTATGAAACAGCTTGGTTGGTTCCCTTTTTCTTTCAAGCTATTGTAACTTACTCATTGAGCAAGTTGCTTTAACTTTTCTGTTTTTCGCCTACTGGAAGGTGATAATATCATGGACCTAATTAATGTGCAAGCTGTAAGTTCCTCCAATGAAAGGCTTTTTAGCTGTGCAGTGTTTAGTCTGTTTCCTTGTATGCAGAATATCCTCATTGTCTTGACCCAAGCTCTCTCTAGGAAGATAAAAATACATGTTTTGCAGTTTGACACCTATTATATATTTGAATAAACCTTGCGAATAAGATCATTGTTCTGGGAAAGATGACTGCTGCCATTTGACTTAAAAGGAATCAGTTATGGTTTGGGGTGAGGAATGCATTTCTTCCAGTTTCTCTCCCAGTTTGTTCAAGGCCACACATGCTCCTCTACCTCTGCTCACTGGACTGTGTAAAATGACTATTGCACCTACTGCCAGTTTTTTTTTCTATGCTGATAGCCATCTAGAGGCTTAAAAGGCTTGCTGTCTGGGTCAGATTGATGGCTCAGTTACACTCACACTGGTAAGGATCTTAGCTTAAACCTACATTCCAAGGGTGAATGGTGTTTCTTAAGGGGATGGGGATTAGAGCAGGACACTTCCTAGTCACTTTCCTAGTTCCTTGAGAGCAGTTTGAACAAACTGTTCTGAGAGCTGCATCCAGAAGCTTGGCCTGCCCTGTCAGAATGAAATACCTGTAGGACCGAGTCACTGATCTGTCAGAATAAGGTGAACAGAAGGGGGGGAAAAAAGCAAGAATCTTTGGCCTGCTTCTTTTAAAAATCCCTTTGTATTTTGAACTGACTGTAATTTTGTGCGCTCCTAGGTCAGTGAGCATGTGCTAATATACCAGGCAGAAATTGCTGCTGTTGTCTTGGATACATGACCCAAAATCATTTCCAGCCTGTAAAGATTTTGCAGAGCTTTGGTAAATGAGAGAGATCCCTGTTATACATGGAAAAATACATTAATGTTTTCTTGTAGGGGTATAAGGGGAGAGGGGAGTTTTCTTCCCCTATCCTATATAAACTGATCAACTGAACAGCAAGCCCCTAGTCTGCCTTTTTACTCAGCACATCCTGTTTCAGAAGAGCTAAAGAGGAGGTGAGAGAAATGCTGGTACAAACAAACCTGCTGTGAGCAGGAAAACATTTTTTTCTCTCAGCTAGTCTGAAATATTAGCTGGCACTGTATGTTATAGAAGCCCATCCTTGGGTGATTTGGGGGAACTAACTGAGAGAAAGTTTAATGAAGTGTAAAACATGATGGTCCTTTATGCTAAAAAAAAATAAATTCAGGGGTGATCCAGGTTAGGTGAAGCAAAGGGAAGAGAAAAGAGCTTGTTTTCAGAAGTCACTATTGCCCTTTGCCCATACAGGAGCACTCCCAACAGTATTTTGGTGTAAAGGACCTTCTGTGTTCACCAAACTGCCTGGGTGTATGGGTGTGCAGCAGTCCAACAGTTTTATTGCTCCAGACTTTAGAGAGAAAAGTCTGCAATGCAGTTAAAATTATCATTAAGATGATACCTTAAGGCTCTGAAAAGCATAATTGGCACGTGCTCACTCAGCTCATCCTCAGCGTAAAAGCCCATTTTTAAGGCTTTTGGAGTGACATACACAGTTGGAGTGGAGAAAGCTGGGTAAAGTGGCTACCTTTTTTAAATTTTATTATTATTTTCTTTAACAGGGAGAGGTCTGACACAAAAGGAAATTTCTTAGAGGTGACCTGCCAAGGACTGAAATTGAACTTGTGTTATCTTTTGTACAAAAGATGCATAAAGCATCCCTAGAAACCTTAATCATCTGCCTGTTTTGTACTTCAGACTCTAGTCTGGTCATCCCTAGTGTATCAGCCATCACAAAAAGGTGGATCACTAGATCTCTCTGTCTTTAGATGATGTCTTTTGATAAAGTGTTCCTCCCTCAGCTGTCTATTTAAATAGGTCAAAACAAGGTTTAAATAGTCCAAATAAAAACTCGTCTCTTCTATTTAATAAGGTGGTTCTTTTCTTGCTTATAATTCATAATTTCATAATTTTGCTAACTTTTTCAGGTGTCCTGAATCTTCAGGACAAAAATCTGAATAACAAATGTTAAAGCCTGGTATTCTCTCTCCTGACAGAAGAGAGAATCTTTCAAATCTCACATTGGCATAGATCATAAAGGGGTCAGCCCAAACGTACACTTTGCACATGACATTTAACAAGGCCTTATCTCCTCTTGCAACACTATAGGTCTAGAGTTGTCATAGTCATGGTATGTGGCAGGGGGAGATTTGGATTATGAAAGAGTGAAGGAATTGGGGGAGGAAAGAAGGCTTGTAGTTCTTGGGAAATGCTTTTCTTACCTTGTTAGTTCTGGAATTATGTAAGAGCTCCCACAGATCCCCCCCCCCCCCCCCCCCCGAAAGCTGGGTGGCAAAAACATAGCCATGGGTGGAATGCCAAAGCTTAGTAAAACTGCTCTCCTTGCTCCCTCTGTCTGTGCAGGCTCAAGCATAACCAGCTTGCTGCAGAAGAAAATGAAATGGAGACTATAGGTTTTGTTGCACATTGTGTCCTAATTGCAACAAATTGTGTTTGACTCATAAACATCTGCTTTAAGAAAGGTTTGTTTAAATATGATGATGGATAAAAAAGAAGGGGAGGGAGGGAACCAGAGATTCAGTCTTGTCTAGCCATATGGCTTCCACTACATGAATCAACAGCAAGGCTTGAACCTGATCCCTCAAATACCAGCACAGGCCTCTACCACTTAAGAGTAAGAAAAGGGGCCTGGGTGTCAGAATTCCTGGGTCCTGTTTCTGGAAGGGAGTGACACCTCAGAACTAGAAAGGGTAACTAATTATGGTCCACACCATTCCTTCTTATATATCTAGCCTGACTTCAGACTAACATGACTAATGACCTCTTTCTGCTCATGAAAGAGGCAAGACATCTGGGTTGTGTTCCCAGTTCTTTCATAAACGCTCTAGTGCAGCCTCTTGATTAACTTATTTGTAGGACTGATAGCACCCTCCTTCCTGAGGTTAGAAGTGTGAAGCTATACTCGAAAATAAATTCTAAAGTGCACAGCAACATAAGCAGCACTTAGTGGAAGATACAAATTTAGAACTTAGCATCTTGACGCAGCCCATTGTATAGTTACCAAAGCCAAAATATATTTGCCACATATTGCAAATATCTTTGTCTCCTGGTAGGAGTTTCCTTAACTTGGTAATTATTCAGAACAGGCAGGATGGTTCACTGATTTGTCAAGTGGACTGAGATAGATACAGGGACACTTGAGGTCTAACTGTGGCTAGAGAGGGGATATGTGTGCCTAGGCATAAAACAGCTTGTAACCCTGTAAATGTTTGGGTGAGATGGGCAAAGGGGGAGAGCAAACTATTGTAATCTCCAAATATTTTGGACTGGAAAGAGCATAATAAGTTATCAGGCCTTTCAGTAGCTAAAAAAATAGGGCATGCAGGAGGAGAAGCTAAAATTTGTCTAACTGAGATATGACAGAGGTAATTAGTATGACCTGTGAAGGAAAAAGAAATGCCAACGAAGTACAGATTTGCATCATACTGGAAGTGGGACATTCTATGAACTGAGTTGGCAGCATTGCCCTCTGCTGTCCAATTAGTGCAAAATATTTCAGAGGATGAAACAACTTAGTGTGATGGCTTTTTAATGTTAACAGAACAGGAAAAAAGCATCTGTTCTTTATTGGTTTTCCTAGTGGGGAAGACCATGCTCATGTCTGTCTTTGCACTTTTATACAAGTAGACTTTGTCCTTCTTGACCACAGGTTTTGTTGCAGCTCTGTAACAGTTCAGTTTATTACTGGGCAGACACAGACATGGGTGATGAACCAGGTGGCCGCCTGGGGCCCGGACACAAAGAGGATCTGAAAATGGTAATTTTTTTCCCCATTGTCCAATTATTTTTATCATGATCTCTGGTGAAGGTGGGCCCGGTACTAAAAGTTCACCTGGGGCCACCAGGAGTCTAGGTATGGCATTGTTACCAGGCCCTGAGAAATCTAGGTATGGTGGTAGTAACTGTGCATGAAAGCAAGCATGTTTCAGTCGGCTGAAAGGAATAAATGCTTTTTAGCAAAGTAGTGTGGTGTAAGCAAGATCTCTTGAGTTCAGTTCCTAAGCAATGTGTAAGTCAATACTCTGATGATACTATGGCCACTTTCTCCAAGCCCTGTAGGCTGTGTAATGTAGATATACAGCCATGTAAATGGCAGTATAAACTGTAGCATTATGCAGAATCTATGTTCCAATAACACTAAGCTTTTGGGAAAAGTCTCTCCAGCCCTCAAGGCAGCAGAGGAAACTCTCGAACTGTGAACAGTGCAACTGTGGTGCAGTGCTGTCTGTTTAAGCTTGTAGATGACAGCGATAATTTAGAAGTAGAAATTTCTGCCACTCATCACCAGGGATCCAGGTTTTCTCGGTTTAAAAATCACAAGTTCTCTGATAAGCCCCAGAATCCACAATTAAAATGAAATGCCGTGTGTGTGTGTGCGTGCGTGTGTGCGCGCGTGCGGAGGGGTGTATGTATCGATTGAACACAATGTTTTATTGATATATTTATCATTTTAAAGGAATTTGGAAACCTACCAGTGGCTCAGTCACTATAATAAAATAAATTCTAAGTACCTATAAATTTTGGTATTTGATTTTGGGTTTATCATGGAAAATCAAAGCTCCCCATGCCCCCTTTGCTCACTAGGACACAGATCTGGGCCCCCTGCTGCCCAGGATATGGGGCCAGGGACGCAGCCCCCTGTCCCCCCACAGCAGTGTCCAGGCCTTGCCAGCCGCCTGTAGGAAGTGGTAGTGGCTGCGGGGGAGTGGAGTGTGGAGCCCAGGTCCTCATCTCCCACAGGCGGTATGGCCAGAGCAGAGCCCATGGCAGGGGCAGGTGCAGGCTCCCCACCCTGCTGCCTTCCCCCTGGGGCCTCCATAGCCCAGCGGGAAGGACCCAGCACAGCAGGGAAGAGTGGGGCCGGGTAGGGAAGCTCTTTTACTACTGCATGGCCCATGCTGCCCTGGTGAAGCACCCCCTGCCCGCCTGGCAGCAGCAAGGGGTACAACTCTGCGCTGCCACCTCCACTGCTGCCAGGTGGGAGGAGAGAGCAGGGCTTCCAGCAGCAAGGAGCTTTCTTGCCTGGCCCTGCTTTGTCCTGCTATGCCAGGTCCCACCTTCTGGGCCCGGGAGGCCCTGGGGGAGGGCAGGAAGCCTGAGCCCACAGCAGGTACCCCACACCTGCCCTCACCCCATGCAAAGATCAGGGGGCATGTGCCCCCCCCCCCCCCGAGTGCATGCAGTGGCTTGAACCCAGCTCTGGTCCCCCTGCTCCCCGGACGAGCCATCCACGGCTCCATCCCACTCCCTTTTTGGGGCCCCCCATGCTCCACACTCCCCCCTCCCCCGCCTCACGTACTCACCCCCTGCCCCACAATGAGGGGCTGGGCCTGGTGGTGGGGGGCAGTGGACCAGGAGTGAGGAATACTGGGTCAGGACTGGCCATTGATCGGGTGACCACTCGTCCCTAATTGGGCAGGACAGTCCCACAGTAGGTACCTGAAGTCGTGATCCCAGGCTGCATCACTTTCCCCTTGCAGGCTGGCAGCGTTTCAGCCTGTAAGGGGCTGCCAGGAGTGTGATGCAGGGGGTCCCCATGTGCATGCACGCTCCTGCACGTATGTACGTGGCCAGAAACACAGCCGCAGAGCCTGGAGAGCAACTCCCTGCAAGTAAGCCTTGGGGGGAGGTGGGGAGTATAAGGGGATTGAGAAGGAGGCAGATCAAGGTTCCCCATGAAGGAGGGAATGGGGCAGGAGCTGAGCACAATGCCTAGCCAGGGCAGTGCATGGGGCTGGGGTGGGAAGTGGGATGGAGCCATGGGCAGCTGATTCCGGGGGCAGGGGGGAGGCATGGCGGGGCACGTGCCCCCCAGATGTGTGCAGAGTGGGGGCTGATGCAAGCTGCCTGCTGCAGGCTCGGGGCTCTGACTACTACCCTGCCCCGGGGGCCCTGTATTGACCGCATCTCCATGGTGACATACCTCCTGCCCACCCAGCAAAAAGGTTGAGAACTGCTGGTCTAGATAAACTCCTGTTCACACTGCTGACAAACTTTATCTTATTTTTACTGCAGAAAATGTAAATTCCTATTTCATTTCTTTTTGGCTGAGTGATTTATTTTGTAGCACAGGTAACTGCTGAGATTGTTGAAATCTTATAAGGATTTCTGTTTGTGGGTTTTTCTTTTTAAATGCAATGGGTATGTTTTTTTTTGGTCAAGTGACTATCACTCTGGCTGATGCCAAAGTCTGGTATGCCGTCTTCATATACATTTGTACACTATGCAACAGTGGTGGTGGAGAAAAATCAAATAAATCAAATTTAAGTGACTTGTATACACAAACTGTATATTCATACCTATCTAGTACTTATAAACTAAATCCAGATTGTAAATTAAGCTAGTTATATTTGATTAACCTCTCTATCTGGGCACTGAAATCAGTTGACTGAGTAATATCAACTTTTTTGTTTATTTTGATTTGTTTTTTTCAAGGCAAAGTTCTTGTTGGACAGTAGACCTTCTAAAAAGACAAGGCAAGGAGTAACAAATTAGGGAACTGATTTTTTTCTTTAAAAAAACCCCAACAAGACACATCCCCCAAAACCCCCCCCCCCCCCCCCCACAAAAACAAAAA